TATCTATTTTAAAAAGTTCTGACTTTTGAAAAAAAAAAAAGAATTTCTGATTTTAGAAATTGGATCTCCAATTGTAGGGCTCCATGTAATTTCCACTTTCTTGATTTAGACGAAGTCCAAGGTGGTTCACCCAATCGCTTGTGCCCCTTTTTAAAATATATGCCCATTCTTATATTTCTTGCTACTTAAGTATTCGATGCTGAACTTGAAGTTTTCAATTTGTTATACTTTTCCTTGATAAAAATTGTTCTTTCGACGTAAGAACTTATTTGAATAATTCTGAGTCTAATAAGCCTTTTTAGCAAGCGAGTCAAGGATAATTAACTACATCCAATTTTTTCTTGAAAACTCAAGGAATTGATATATATATATATATATATATATATCTCATGACGTCGTTACAGAACCACGTGCAACACACTGGCATATAAAACATCTTTGTAAGGTTAGGAGAAGATTAAAAAGAGAAAAAATATTTCACCACATAAATTGCTTGGTAATATAGAGGCGGTTGAAGCAATACGACATGTGTGAGAATGTTCGGTTTTGCTTAAAATTTATTTTTGTAGAAAGCAAGTTAAAATATAATTATGTTATTAAAATATTTAGTTTAAAAATCAGGTCTAAGGAAAGAAAAGGATGCACTTGACTTATGAAACAGGTTAGAAATAGAACGTAAAAGAAAATTATTGGTGTGCTGAATTGATTAAAAATGAGTGACATGGATACGAAGAACCTACGAATTATTAGACATACATGAAATTATCTTGCGCGTGTGAAAAAGAAAATTGCATCTAAATTGAAGTGATGGAGGAGGCTGGATCTGGAGGAATGGGGACTTCAACAGATCCTTCCATAAGTTGCAGCACTCTTTTCATGGTGGGCCTTAATTCTGGATCCTCCTGAATGCACCAAATTGCTATCATCACAAACTTGTCAAATCGCTTGTCGTTTAATGCCTCCTCGTCGTCGTTTGCCACTAACAAATGCATTGTTCCTTCCTTGTAACAATCATAAGCAAAATCAGCAAGTATCATTTCACTCTCAGCCTCGACCTTGCGTTCGTAATTTCTTCTGCAACAAATAAGCTCGAGCAACAAGATTCCGAAGCTGTAAACATCAACCTTGACTGTAATCGGCATGTTTCTGAACCATTCTGGAGCGATATACCCTTTGGTTCCCCTTATTCCTGTGGTGGTTCTCGACTGATCTGGCTTCAAAAGCTTGGCTATTCCAAAGTCTGATATTTTTGCCGTGAAGGATTCGTCCAAGAGTACATTTCTGGGCTTAATATCACAGTGTATGATTTGATTTTTACATTCTTCATGCAAATAGCGAATACCTCTCGCTGTTGCAAATGCAATCTGCAGTCTTTTGTACCAGTTGGCCCTTGAATTTTCAAAAAGAAAGTTTGCAAGAGAGCCATTGCTCATGAATTCATATACCAAAAGCCGGTTTTGGTCCTCATCACAATATCCTAGCAATTGAACTAGATTTTTGTGATTAGTCCTGCTAATTGAGCTTACTTCCGCTTTAAATTCTTCCTCACCTTCTGTAGCCATCTTATGCAGCTTTTTCACAGCAACTACGGTTTCAGTATTGTCGTTCTTAATAATTCCTTTGTATACTGTTGAATAAGCACCCCTGCCCAATTCCTCCCAGAATCCATTTGTTGCTCCTTGTAGCTCTTTGAAACTGAATCTTCTTATGTTCAGGCCCGGAAGAACTTGAAGTGCTTGAATCACCTTTGATTTTTGTTGACTGAAACAGAAAGCATACAAGCAGATGAATGAAAGTAGAAGAAAATTAAGAAACATGGAACTGCCTAAGAAAACTGATCCGGTGATGATCAGAATGGATCGTTTACTCTTCTTTGAGCCAGAGGAGTCTGCTGTTGCATTGCTGTTTCTTATTTTTATCAAAGCTTTCCCCCCTATATTATCATCGACCCTCCCATTGGAGAGAGGATATCTCTTCTTCCAACAGTTACCGTCTCTATACAATGCAACAGTACAAAAACAATCGTTGAGGCAAACCTCTCGACACCATTCTTCTGTGACTTGCTGAAAATAAGCAGAATCAGAGAGAGGCCAATCTGTGTTGGGCATGTCATTGAAACTAAAAAGGTCAGTTTCGTGTGTCTCTTCATTGCAGCTTTGTTGAGCGAAATCTGGTTTGCAATCACTCATTCTGTCATTTGGATCTATGAAAGAGTAACCAATAGGGCACTCACACTTTGGCATTTGATCAGTTCCAAATGAACACAAACTATTAAAACCGCAAGCACCGCCACCTCTACTTTGCTTTATGCTCGAGCATATATTCGAAGGTATGAAGTGCATAGTGGACCAAGCCATTGCTCTACCACCTGCTGAATTAGCAGACTTGGGGTAGACATAATGTCTTAGAACCCCATCATATTCCAGCATTGCTCTCTGGTAAAACTGACTAGTCGAGGCTGAAGTTGAAGACACAAAATTGAGGATACTTCCATTTTTTGCTACCAGAAAGATGTAACCTGATTGGTTGAAGATCACCTGGAAGCCACTGTCCACAGTTTTCGTTGACCAATAAGGAAAAATAATGTCGTCCATGGGGAAATTTCTGGTGCAAGACACAAGATCTCCATTATTTTGTAATCTGAAGATGAATCTTCCACTCGAAAAGTTTGTCTTAGAGAAGCTGGATACAAGTGTGCCATCTTGATTTAGTGTCTGTGTTGGTAATAACGTATCGGTTGGCTCGTCAAAACTCTGCCACAAAACAACTGAGTTGGTGTTTGCTAACACAAAATTACCAGTGTCCAGCATGGCTCCATATGCCACTCCACCAAGAGACAAAGGAGTAGCCCATATCCTATGGCCTCTAGGATCACTCAGTTCAAACCTTCCATCTGCAAATAGTTGAACTTTTGATCCTGCTTGGACGGGATTATCGCGATTGGCCGACCAAACAATGGTTCTTTCGGGTATTTTGTTGAACCAGATTGCCAGTAAGTAACCTCCACGAATGATCTGCTGGAAGCCAAAAGCAAATTCTCCAGATGGTGATAACCATGTGGAATTTGCATTGTTTGCAGTTATTGATGAACCCAAAGTTACATTCCCGTATGGCTGAGCTGTGGCTGAGAGTGGTAACAAGACCAGTAGGAAAAACAACATTATACTTGAAACTGCGAAAGCCATGTGGAAAGTGATCTCCCTCAAAAGAATTGATTCAATTGAGACGAAAGTTTTGTATTAGTTGTTTTTATCATAGCATTTGAACTAATACACGTAGAGAGCCAGAAGACATTCTAGGTCTACGTAAGAAGACCCAAGGAAATTAGTGATTGAGTAATAGAAGTTACTGTATAATTAAGGAAATTACTGATTGAGTAGTGGAAGTTACTGTATAATTACTGATTGAGTCTATAGACGTGTAAAAGGGGGTTGAACTCTTTGGATTCCAACGGTCAAAATGCATGACTGGATTGCATGGCTCGACAAAGTCACCCGTGCCTAAGGAGCTGGACCACTGACTGCAAAATTTTTAGGGACCTGATTAAATTCAACCCTATATTCAACAAAGAGGGCTAAAATAAGTCAACAAAAAAAAAATGATTGAGAGAGAACAAATACTTTAACACGGTTATCAACAGTAACTTTAAAGAAATAAAATGAAGGAATTTAACTTGATGAAATCGAACTTTGGAATTGTAGTTTATGCGACAATAGAACTTCAACTTTAATATATAAAATCATACAAATAGGCGCATACTGATAAATTAAAATTAATTAACTTACAATTTAACTAAAGAGGTCAGATGTTGGAATATTGTTCAAATTATAGGAGGTGTAATTTGGAAGTGAACAACTATGTGATAAACCAATCATGTGTGAAAGCAATTGGAAACAGAACGAAAAACAAAATGAGAGAAAAAAATAATTAAGGCTGCTCGATTGCCCGGATCGTTCGATACAAAATTTTACCCCGTATGAGTTTTGAATTCTTGTATCGTTTTGGATGTTCTCACACCCCTTTGGCTTGATTTTGGCACCATTGTTTATATGGAGGTTATAGTACTATATATATGAATGGTTTTCGTGTTGAAAAACACATCCAAAACATCAAATTCACTCACTCACTTCCATAATCAAAGATCAAACTCATTTTCTATATTTGTTCTTCAAAGTTCTTTTTCCAAGTTTGTTTGCTTGATTCAAATTTGGATTAAGTCCTACGAACTATTTTCTTTGAAAGCCTTCAAGTACTTATCCGCATGGCGACAAATATCATTTGAAGACAACTATTCATAAACGTGTTCAAACCTTCCATTTTGATGAATTCTTGTTGCTAGTTTTTTCTTTGTTCTTCATCAATTTTTCACAACTATCTCGAACGATACTTTTAATATGGAGAACGAGAAAACTATGGCTATGATAAAGATGATGAATTAAAACCTTGTGAGGCTCGATAGATTTGACGTGTCAAATTTTACAAGAATGGCAAGTTGAAGTTTCTTCTCATAACTTTGAAGATCTTCCACATATTGAATCTGGAATTGGCACCATTGCCATAACCAATTCCAAATGATACCAATGCAATAAGGGCGGAAAGGAAGAAGTGACAAGAAGAAGAGTTGATGTGTAGAGGACACATTGCGAACGCTCTCTACGATCGCCTCTATGATCTCTATGCAAACAGCACATTGGCAATGGCGATATAGGAATCTTTGGAAAATGAAAACAAAGGTGAGAGGAAGTCACCAAAAAGTTTTTGATTTCTAAGTATTTTAATTTCAAATCTTTGGATAACTTGCCTTTGTTACGACAAGTTCACGAGTTGTAAGTTATTGCCAATAAAATAAAGGTCATGACTATTGATCTTCTCAAAATCTACCAAGTTGGTACAATCATTGTGAAATTGTCATTTTCATGGAAGTATTATAGGAAAAAAAATTTTCACAGTTCCCAAGATTATTCATTGGAAGAGATTCAAAAGCGTCTTTGTATAGAGGAAGAGTCAAGGGCACAAGATGGAAATGAACATTCTCATGAGGGTATTTCCAAAGCCCATGCCGTGGATCTACTAAACAAATATGATAAGGATTCCAAGAAAATGAAATCCTCAACAAAAATAACAAGAACAAGAAAAAAAATCAAAATTTCTTGTCATGTGTGTGGCAAATCCGAACATTACGCTCAGGATTGCAGACATTGCAATTAACCAACGCAAGAAGGTAAAGTAAACTACATTGATAACACCATTGCTACCGTGAGTATTGTAAATTCGGTCAAAGGAAAGATTCAACGATGATGGTATGACACATGTGCCACCATACATGTGTGCTACAATATATCCGTGGATGATGAACACATTTAAATGGAGAATGAAGTTTAATCAAAGGTAATTGGCAACGGAAGCGTAGACTTACAATTCACATCCGGCAAGAAGATCAAATTGATAAATGTTTTACGTGTACTGGATATGAATAGATACCTTGTAAGTGGTGATTTGTTAGGAAAATCGGGAATTAAGTACACAAAAGAGTCATGGAAAACTAGTACTTTTCGGAATAGTGTATTAGTTAAAAAATGCTTTCTAGTAATGAAATGGTCAAATTTTGTACTATCGACAATGATTTTAATAAAACTACAAATTTGAATTATATTGTTGAGTCTATTTTTTATGGCATGATAGATTAAGACATATTGGCTTATCTACTGTAAATGGAATGATAAAAATCGAAATGATTTCATGTGAAAATATAGGACACAATAAATCTGAATTATGTATTAAGTCTAAAGTGATTAAGAAACATTTTCATAGTATTGAAATGATATCTAATTTATTAGAGTTAATTCATTTCGATATATGTGAATTAAATGGAATATTAACTAGAGGAGGTAATAGATACTTCATAACATTCATATATGATCATTCTAGGTTTTGTTCTATCTACTTGATGAAACATAAGGATAAAATCCGTAGCATGTTTAAGATATACGAAACCTAAGTAGAAAATTAATTAAATAGAAAGATTAAAGTTCTTAGAAGTGATAGGGAAAGTGAATACTTCTCTAGTGAATTTAATCTTTTTTTTTGTAAATAACATGGCATAATACATCAATATAATGCACCTAGAACACCCGAACAAAATAGTTTAGCTGAGACAATGAATACGACACTCGTAGAAATGATAAATGCTATGTTATTAAGTGCTTAGTTTCCATCTAACTTATAGTGTGAAGTTTTTTCAAGTGCGTGTCACATAGTTAATATGATTCCTTTTAATGGATTTAAAGTTTCTCCCTATGAATTGTGGATATGGAGAAAACCAAACATTGGTTATTTCAAAGTGTGAAGGTGTCTTACTTGTAGTAAGAACACAGATCCTAAAAGGACTAAGTTGAGTCCTAGATGGATTAAATGTTCTCTTATATGATATGCCTAAAATAGCAAGGCATATCGTTTATTAAACTTGGAAACCAATGTCATTATTGAATCCCTTGAAGTATAGTTTTTTGAGAATTTGTTATCTTCAGATAATAATTCTTTAAGAGAACCTTAAGTAGAGATTTCTAGTTATGTAAGATCACAAGAAGACCCACCATTTGAGGATGTTAAAACAAGTAAACTTTGCAGAAACAAAAGAGTTCAAAAGGAGAAAGTTCTAGGATCGGATGAATTTGATTTTCAACTTATTTCCTTCTATTTGGTTCACGGAAATGAGAAGAGTCTCACTAGAACTTTCTCCTTTTGAACTCT